TTAAATTGGATATTTGTACTGTTTAAAAAAAATTGTTGAATTAAATTATATATTTATATTACTTAAAAGAAAATTGAATAATTAGATCGTATATTTATATTACATAAAAGCAAATTGAATAATTAGATTGTATATTTATACTACTTAAAAGAGCATTGATGAATTAGATTGTATATTTTTACTACTTGAATGAAAATTGATGAATTGAATCGTATATTTATACCACGTTAAAGGAAATTGAATAACTAAATTATATATCTATACTACTTAAAATAAAATTAAATAACTAAATTGTATATTTATATCATGTAAAAGAAAATTGAATAATTAAATTGCATATTTACACTGCTTAAAAGAACATTGATGAATTAAATTGTATATTTATACTACTTGAATGAAAATTGATGAATTAAATTGTATACTTATACTACTTGAATGAAAATTGATGAATTAAATTGTATACTTATACCGCTTTAAAGAAAATAAGATTTACGTTTTTATTTCGTTAACAACGACACAACGCGTTTCTTAATTGCCTGTTAGCCATTGTTGTGATAATTAATGATTCAGCATCATAAGTGCCACGCAGAGATACATACTGCGAAAGAGGCAAATGGCACACGATCCCAGACTGAAGCACAGACTGTGTATTCAGGCGCCTGTTCAGCGCCTAATTAAACTGGAGTTGACTCATTACCGTCAGTGAGATTAGGTTAGGTGAGAAGGGAAGGGACGGATCACGGACACGACTTACCTCCGTTTCCTACGGATAACACTGCCACCATGCACCATTTCTAGTTTATGGAGGTTAATCTGAAATGCAGATCTCCTCATACTGTTCTTTACTGTGACTTCATTTCGATCGAGAAAAGAGAAATTATATTACAACACTAACACCGTCACGGAGCACGTGAAATATCGAATTTTTCATGCCGCCTGACAGTTTATTCAATTACATAGGAATTTGATTAATCGCGATGAATTTGTACCCCGCGTTTCCCAAGCGAACGAATGCACGGCCATGCAATTATTATCTGGAATCTACATTCTCCCAGGTGAATTTTTCCAAGCTGTTACTCGCTGTTCAACGTTAATTTATGGTGACCTCTTTGTTAAATGATATCATCGTTACTACATAATCTACGCCGAACCCTTAAATTGGATAAAGTTTTCTCGAGTTTATCTTCGAGTTCTGTTCGAAGTTTGCCACACGTAAGAATTTTCGTTGAATTTTGTTTCGAAACCGCCATTGTTCATTTTAATTCATTCATTCATTTTAATTTTAAATAAACCTTAAACAATCGCTGTGTAACAACTCTTGATATCGATAAGATAATCGAGTATTAATTAGTTCAAATTCTTTCTCGATTCTCTTATTTAATCCAATATACATTTGATGTAACTTCAAAACCATGCCAAAGAGTTTACTTTAATTAGTTTTTCACTTAAGATAAACGTTAAGAAATACAAGTTTCAGATTAATTAATCTGTATAACCCACTAGAAACTATAAAAAAAAGCAAATAATAATGATTAATCACCATTCTAATGTAATAAAGTATGTTTTGCTACGAACGCTTGAATGCAGTTCCAAGAAATCTAGAACAGTGAGATTTAAAACGCAGTGTGAACAACGCGTTTTTTGCAGCAGCTTTTTAAAGGAGACGAATACCTCTTTACCTAAGAACGGCGTTAATTGTGAGCTATTGTGCGGTGCTTTATGAACGCGGTGTATAAAAGTTAACGCTCGCTTTCGTTAGGTGTTTACCCGGTAATACCATTTCCCTAATTCCTTTTCCACGCAAGGTAGATCCCGGTAAAGTAATAGCAACTGTATTACTTGGTAGCTTATTCATACTGTCCCGCCATAACCAGGCCGCGACTGGCTCCATTAAGTGTACCAGACAGATTATGTGCAACCATTTAGAATCGAGTTAAACCTTAACTGTGTACCCAGAGCCTTGGCAGTGATCTACAAATTATAGTCGAGTGCACGTATCGCGGCTAACTTGTAATATAAATGGAAACGTACAACACGTACTAGGAGTATCTGTACGCCCACATGTTTCCTAATATCACCTAAATCAGAGCGGCCAGGCTTTTTCGGCGCCCAGTTTTAGTTACGTCCACGGAGGTGATAATTAGACTGCGTATTTTATAGATTTCTTACGAAAATGTGTAGCTGCTATTGGAAATAATTGGGAGAATGAACAGAATCGAAGAGTATCGAGACACATTACTTTCGACTTGTTAGAAATTCTCAAAGAGGAAAAGAAATTTGTGACTGTTGTTTTGTGCTGCGACAGATCATTTTCATTTTGCATAAACGTCGAAGAGAATAGCAAGTAGTAGTTGTAAGCAATTAAATAAGAGATTAAGGTACCGATATGAAAGCGGTTTAAATTACCAGATTCTTCTCGGTGGATTTTGGTTATTTTCTATTTCAGTTAAGAACGATAAAGATGAAGTGTATAAAGAGACAGTATTTTACTATGGCTTTATTTTATTTTAAATTTAATAACAAAAGGTATCAATTCACAGATAGCAAATATCTGCAGAGATTGATTGGGACATCTTTATCTGAAATAAATAAATTAATTGTTCTAGGAATAATAAACTTAGCATTAATTATCCTATAGAAATTTCACTTATATTCATATAGCACTTTAATGTACCTATACATATAACCAACAAATATTGTATAGAAATATTGCTGGATATATTTTAAAGTGGATAATATCCGAGTTATTTGAGAATTATTTTATGCTGCACCACGACGCGGGAAATAAATTATTCCAAGTGTTTGAGATACGAACCAATATTTGCAAATCTCGTACAAATTGAAATCAAGACAAAATTAATTGCAATCCACAGATACACTTGGCAGGCGCATCTCTACGGCTTCATTACGAATATTACCTTCCTGTATTCAGCTCTTTGGTACGGAAACGTAAAACTTGCGAGCGAGGAAGGCTTCGTGAAACGATTAAATCGGATGCGAGAAACTTTTTCTGTTCTATGTTTTCCTTAAACCATCTCAAATTACACGAGAAATCGAAGCAAGTTTTAAGCGCTTCGTGATACTTCGAAAGATTAGGCGTTCAACGAGAAATTCTGAATAATCTGGATTCGTATTGTAATGTATGCGATCCTGCGTATCATAGTTTGAAAATCTTAATACTTACGAAACTATACATACAAGTTCAAAGATGGAAATATGTTTCTGAATAAGAAGCAGCATGTCATAATTCGTCTGCGGATTTTTACATAAAAAAATTCTCTGCATTGATTGCAATATACTGGAATCGAATAGAAACGTGTCTGTTTCAAAATAAACATGATAGCAATTAGCACGCAGCGTCCTATTTTGATTAATTCTGTGGTGTTCGTAACTAACGATGATGGGAAAAGAATCAAAAACTAACGTTAGAGCATAATGTTGACTATTAATCGCAAGACTGCGGATCTTTTTACAAAATAAAGATCGCCTGCATTGTTTGCAGTATCCAAAGTCTATATAAACATGTCCTGCTTTCTTTCATTACTTTATTTCGCTGAAAATAAAGCAACTATATTTTTCAACTCTTTAAATATTTTTACTGTTTTGAATATGATTCTGATATGCATTCTCGTCACGAATGCATAAAATCCGTAGACTATTAATAAAGAAGTAAGAAGTATCTAAATACGTCTATGAAAAGACAAGAGTATTATGTCTTTCAATGAAATCAAGTTTTCTGCTGTTGAAACTATAAATTTGCTAACGGCGAGATGATAGCGATAATAATTGCTCACTGCAATATAATTGGATTTAAGAAAAATGTTCATGTTTTTACCGTCTATCTCCTTAAAACATATATTCGACGGTGCAGTATGCCATTTATGCCATTTTGCTCCGAAAGCACATATATTTGCTTGTAAAATAACAATTCCTGAAAAGTTAATACCCTCCTTTGAAATGTCGAGCCGAAATGCCTTCTTTTAATTCATATTTTATTAAAGTTAAAGAACAAAAATACTTCAGAATTTGACGGGGTTTATTCGTTCTTTGTTATTTTTGTATCACGAATGTTCAATCTTCGTTCACTGTTTGCAATCGAAAACTGATCGGTGTGGATGACAGTCTCGCCTGCGAATCTTCGGATTCTGTTTTGCACGGTGATAGCCCAGTATTTTTATACTCAAAGCTGCCGTACACGTATCCGCACAACGGGCAGATCATGCGAACTTTCTTCGCACGCTTCATCATCAGCGGCACAAAGCAAAGCGGCCAGCATCTACCATAAATCATCACGTTTTTAACAAACGAGAATACTTGTCGTATTCACGTAAATCGACTGTGAAAGCTACGCAAGTTTTTCCTTCGTAAGCTAACATTCAATCAAGCGCTTTCAAAATGCAGGCTGGGACATTTACGAAACATTTGCAAGAAAATCTATTCCCTGTACCCATAAAAGGAAACGAAAAACTCGATTGAACGTTAAAGATCTTTTAACTATTTATTAGATTACACACTATATGTGCACTGTAGCCACAGAAATATATGCAGAATGTATTTAAATATAAATGTTGAAACAATTCAATGGACATTTTAATTTACCTTTAATGTAACAAATTTCTTCCGAGACTGGATTTGTTAAAATAAAGCACGAAAGCAGGAATTTCGATAAACGTATGCGGCATATTGGTTACTTAATGAACGAAAAACTTCACTTTAAAGGAAATAGCATGGACGGTTTGAAAAAAAAATTTAGGAATATTGATCGAGTTAGATAGAAACTGTATTAGTAATTGAAATCTATTTGGTAACGTATTAAGACTTAATTTAGTAATATCTCGTTAATCCAATTGTGAAATAAATTCGTGGCGTTGATTAGATTGCAGATGTTTATGAAAAACAAAAATTGTCTGCATCGATTGCACGAAATTGAAAGTTAAGTAAACGATTGGTTTTTAATCATGTTCTTTAATAATCTTCATAAATTGAAAATAATATCCAGAGATTCTTAAATTCTTTCGATCTTTCTGCTATTTTAAAGTCTAGCGATCATTCTTTGGATATTTAAGTATTTCTCTTTTTACAAATGACCATCGTTTGAGAAGAATTAGGACAAAGTCAGATAATAAAGGCTGCAAGTGACGTTATGCCAGTAGACTTGAGCTTACCCTAAGAGGCACAGAGCTCCGATATGCGACGTTGTCAGTTTATCTCCGCGAGCGTGAAGCGTCGGGACTGCTTCCTTTTTACATTTCGGACAGATTTTCATCTCATTATGCGACTTCCATGTGTCCACTATTATCCACGACGAACAATTTAATACTTTATCGTGAAATTTCTGGAACATGAAACACGTACCTCGGGTGGCGTAGACTTTCTTTGGTTCGTTTGTTCTGACGTTGCTGCCTGTTCTGACAGAGTTCTTCGAACTTACACGTTTGGACGATTTTTTAGACACCTCCTTTTCACACTAATATTTAACGAATTTAATTATTAATATTATTAACGATTTCATAACTTTCGTATACATGTATAATAATAAATTGTCTATTATACTATACCACGGGTAACAAAACTTTTATTAGTTTACAGTGTTAAACCTAACATTAAGAAAATTTGAATAGTTATGTATAAAAAGGTCCTCCTCTCCGATTTTTATGAAATTTAAGCATACTATGCAAGTCAGTATTTTGAGCAATTTTCTCCTCAATAAAAACACGTCACTCTGCTTTAGTTTCCGAGATATAGTAACATTAATTAGATTAATTAGACTCGACTGTAATCACAGCTGCAAACAAATTACGAAGACTTAACCTCCGCTCAAAACCTTCATTTTAAACTATAAAATGCACAGCATAAAATAACGTCCAACGACTACTTCTAAAAATCTACAAGAAACTACACTTAAAATTTACGAGCTTCTGTTAACAACAATCTATGCTTTCATATAAAGTCCTATATTAAACACTTTTAAACATTCTTTTATAAGACTTACTCAAGTTCAAATTGTTAAAAACTTAACATTCTTCGTACACTGGCTAAAATGTTAAAAGATACTTTTGACTCGCGTAAACAGTTGAAATATAACTGCTTACATGCACCAAGGTATAGCATGACTTGCATTTTGGTATATTGTAACGAGTAATTCGAACAATTATTAATTGTATTAGGTCTACCGGAAAGTTCTGTCCGTTCGAGAAATAATAGATTTTTCATAAATTTAGTAATATTTATTGTACAATATAATTTCCGCCGTTACTTATGACGGCGTGATGGCAATTTGTGAGCAACATTTTTCAAAAATATATGCCTCCAATAAATATGTGCATATCTATCGAAATTTGCAATGACATTATCGGACAGAACTTTCCGGTAGACCTAATATATAATATTATACTATATTATTAGTTGTTAATATTCTAGATTTCAAAATTCCAAGGAGTTGTCAGTATATAGAGAAACAAATTTTGCTCAACCATGAGAGTTGAAAAATTGGATTTTTGCCATAAATTACCGGTTCGTCGGACAACTATTCGCCGCGATCGCCTGAAGACAAGGCGGTCTAGTCGAGAGGAGTTGTCGAATCGTCGAATCTCGAAGTGCGGCAAAGTGAAATTTCGTACCTCGGGCAAATATTGACACGAGCGCTTGGGGTGAGATTTGCGAATATGGGCGAGGAGCGTGCACGTGTCTTCCCCTTTGTCGCTGACTCGTTTGTCGCACACAGGACACCACGTGGCCGCGTACGGCTGTGACGAAAATGGTATATAACATAATATACGGCGTCATTGAATTCTAACCTACGTAAGTCAGCGAGGACATCCGCCTTTTAGTCGAACGGCTCCCAGGAATTAAACGAACGGGCTGGAACAACCTGCGTTCTGCATATCATATTTCCATATACGCGACGCGTTCTCTCGCCGCGAGTTCGATACACATTTTTCAACCGGACATATATATTTAAGACTAGAGCCGCCGTCCGCGGATATCGCATTAACAAAGTGAAGTTGTACGTTGCCAATGAAACAATTTCCTTGAATTTATCTGTTATAGAGCACCTCGCTCAGAATCCGGTTGCCAAGATCGATGCTTGGGAAACGTGAACTCTTGAAATTATTGCGCTATAGCGACCTACTTGCGACGATTGAGTTACGAATGGTTTTACGAAAATTATACTATGTTGCAAAATACAGGGTGTCCCAAAATTATGGTACTTCCGTGAAATGAGGGGTTCCTGAGATCATTTGAAGTAACATTTTCCTTAGCTAAAATGCAATCCGCGGCTTCCTTCACGAGTTATTATCGAAAAACAGTGACCAATGAGAGGCAAGATCGGTTGGCGCGAGGCAACCGAACCAAAGAACGGTACTGGACTTCTTCCGCTCGTTGGCTGGGTCACTTCGCGCCAACTAATTTCGTCCCTCATTAGTCACTGTTTTTCGTTAATAATTAGTAAACGAAGCCGCGGATTGCATTTTCGCTAAGAAAAAAGTTACTTCAAACGATCTCAGGAACCCCTTCATCTCACGGAAGTACCATCATTTTGGGACACCCTGTATACAAAGTGCGGTTAGGCACTTGGACTTTTACTTATATTGGCAGACGTTGGGCGAATTTTCATAGTAATCTGTAGTAGTTTGGTACTTATTTGACATTTCGAGGAAGGTATCGATACTGTTGATCAATTAGCTATTTTTATGTAATAATAACGAGAAAACCAATCAGCTAACTTATTTTCAGCCTATTTGTTATATGAAATTACGTACGAAGAAATAGTTTTATGATAGTGATGAAATCTTACATTATAATGAGCAGAGAGATTTATGAGAAAAACATGAAATAGTAAATACGTCAGAAGTATATAAGAATATAGATTAATAGGAAGAATACGTTGTTATATAACTCATAATTCTTGGAATTAATGAAGATAATTTATGTTTTTATGTTTGTGCACTTTAATGAGTACAAAAGTGAATATGGTCTTTATACATTGATAAAGTACCAAATTACTTTATTCAAGGATTGGTAAACAGATTTTAATGTTCTTTTATATTAGAGGAAATACATTTGCATATAAAAAGATCATTCTCTCCTTCGAAGATGTCATAAATTTTTATCAAACTTATTCAATTACGTGTTTTCCGAAAATTACAATTTTATGAAACCATTAGTATTTGGAGTGAAAGGTAAAAGCAAATCATGACACGTTCGCTGGTAACATTACGATTGTACATTTCACATAAAAAAACATTAAGTTAATTTCGTGAATTTAAAATTGCAATAGGAGGAACGAATTTAAAGTTTTTCTTTGACGATATTTTTATCAGATTTTATATGAATTACATTTAATCCAATTGATTAAATAAATGTAACTATAAAAGCTATTGACACTGATTTAGAAATTCGAGTCATTTGGTCTAATTTTGAAAAAGTTATCCCGCTTGAAAATATGTCGGAATACTTTCCTGAGCCACTGTGTATGTAAAAAGAATTGTACTTAACAATTCTTAACTCTTTTGCACTGTAACAACGAGTCAGACTTGTGATAAAGATTTTATACATAATCTACTAAATACATACGTACGTTATTCATTTCTTCGAAATCGAGACAGACTCTTCCGTTATCAAGGTCGAGAAATGAAAGTAAATGAATACATATGAGAAACAAATATTCTCTTGTCCTATTAGAGAAATTATTAAGATCAAAGAAGTACTAATCAACGTAACCATGAAAGAAATCATAATACAAGCAGTTAACGGAACTATTATATTAGTCAAATTGTTAGAAATGTATAGCGACTGGCATTAATATTCTGAAAGTAAGTAACATTCTTCTCAAAGTAAACGAAATGACTTACATTTTTTGAGTTCTTAGAGAAATTAGTTTACTAGGCAATGTCTACAAATTCTTTTTTTAATTGTAGTTCGTTGCAATGAAAAAGAAAATAAGAAAGTCGTGTTTTTTTTTTACCTTTCTCGATTTGAGCTAAAAAGAAATCTCGGTAACTTACACGCATTGTCCAGTAGACTTTCGACCATCTAAATAGAATTCAATTCATTTCGTTCAGTTCGAAAAAAGTCATACTGTTTTAGACGTTGCCTGAATATTAACGCGGATCACTGCACATACTGTATATGTTATGCATAATGCAAAGTTGAAGGATTCGAATTTATGTAGCACTAGCGTGTAATAAACGTGCAAGATCGCAGGTTAAACCTGCAGCGAGTCATTTATCACGGCAGCTTACCAATAATAGATATTATTATCGTTTATCGCGATAGCGAGCCCAGTCTAAGCTGAAGGGACTATTTGGGCTGGCTGCTACTTTCTTATCGCTAGCTCGCCAGGAGCTAAGCCCCAGCTGGCCGCTACGTTACGCGTGTCCGGAAAGCTCGCCAGTTAACTTTGATAACGCGTCACTCGTACCGTGCAGTTTAATCAAATTCTTTTCGACGAAGCGGCTTAATCAACTTCTTGGGCAGCCCGACTGCTTTTTACTTTGTGCCCGTTAAGTTTGTTTCTTTCACGAGGAGCTGGCTAATCAGCGCTGCGGGTACCTAATTTCGCGTAAGTTGGCTGCACCAGGCTACTCGGACACCTTAATCAGCTGCTTAGATGGGATAATCACCTCCTAAGGTAGCTTAATGATCTCCTTCTTCCTTTTCGAAAGTAACAGCATTGAATCTGTTCGGAAGAGCTCGCCAAAGTACCAGCTGTTGATCATTCTACATAAATCACCGTTATTATCGCAGTATTTAAATTGCTGTCTAATTAGAAATCGTTGGATTCAGTGTTAACCCTTCAATAACGTGCTAACATAATCTACGATCGTTGGTCGATAATTTTATTAATTAATAGTTATTTCGACGTTCTGCTTATTGCAGGTTCTTACGTCTGTGTGTGCCTCTGTAATAAATAAATTAATATGGCAAACAGATCGGATTCAGAGGAATCGTGAATTGCTGATTGATATGTTTTTATATACTGGATAACGTATGTTTTCCTTGATGCATTTGATAACACCTCTTTGGTTGAATGTTCTCTGTTTAGTTGAATATTAATGGAAGGTGAAAATAGTTAAAAATCTTTTGG